GGCCATGGTTTAATTTCAGAGTTTCCTTCTCCTAGCCTTTGGGTACCCAAACCCTATCGTATACTCTAAGTCTACGAGGTGTATACTTAGAGTACTAGTCCTAATTCTTAATTATTTTTTCAGCTGAAGTGGTGAATAAATGTGATGTGATAATGCTTGGAATAAAACCTCAGTATTTAGACGAAGCAATCAAAAGCTTTGACCCTGTTCCAAACAATAAACTTTACATATCGATTCTTGTGGGGATTACTATCGAAACTTTGAATGATGTAAGTTTTCTTCAATCATATTTCACATCTTAACATAGCTATATAAGCCATATAATGATCATTGTTATGATATCCAATACCGGTTCCACTCCTTAAAGGTATATTGGTATTACTTTTCAGCTTGCAACAGATACATTTTTCAACACGTTTGATACAAGTCTAGATTTAAAACATTCCTTCAATTGTTATTATAAAATTTCATTTATACTTAAATTTTACCCTTAAAATGTTATAGAAATATTAACTCTTGAAGTTTATAAACCAATCTTTAAATGTTTTTTTTGTTGGTTTTTTAATGATATTTCTTTGCTTGTACTGTAACCACTGGCAAAATTCATACATTGACCGATAGTTAACAATGTTAAATAAACCAGGACGATTTCCATTTACAGAAACTGCGGACACAATTTAGGTTCACTGAAGCTGGTCCAGAGCCTTGGCGTATCGTCAGAGTTATTCCTAACACGCCAATCATGGTTGGGGCGGGGGCCACAGGTTAGTTTAATATTATTTATTATACTATTAACTACCTCCTTATCTTCATGACGTACCAAAATTAATTACCTTTTCTAGGTGTGACCATCAAATTCATTTAGTTTGCAATTTTTCACAGCGTATGCAGTGAGTGAGGGAGCCAGAGCTGAGGATAGTGAACTAGTCAAGACAATATTTTCTGCCGGAGGTCTGTGTGAGATTGTGCCAGAACGGCTGTTGAACCCAGTTGGAGCTCTGGCCGGGAGTGGTCCTGCTTATGTAAGATTTTGAAACTGACAATACAAACTCCAAATATCCAAATTCCAGCTCCCTGGTTATTCAAATCGCTTATAGAAAGAAGTTTAAAACCATAAAACTACAGTAGGCCTATTGTGATTTATTACTAAAGAAGGCAGAAGGCCTATAATCTGACATAATATCTGGCATAATCTGGCCTATATCTGTACATAACCTTGAAAATCTCCTGCTGTTGTGTGGACTTCAATATCGTTTCCGTGGTCACAGAAACATCGCATCACATCGTCTTTTGAGATTTCGCCAAAATCCTGAACATCCCTCGCAGTCTGGTAGACCATCATCACCAATGTGTGACACAGAAAATTCATCATCTTCTTCGGCAATTATGGCAAAAGCGTACACTTTTTTATCACGTAACACTCACAAACGCGTTCTGCTGTCACAATTATTGTTAAAGCTCTGCTTGATTTGGCATATTTTCTATAAATCGCTTGAATTACGTTAAAAATCCAATCATCCAAATTTTTATTATTTGAGTGTGATACGTGGCAATAGATTTGGATGGTTGGAGTTCTAAGGTACAGTAGTATGGTTCCTCAACACAGTTTTGTGCAGGATCGTACACTCACATAAGAAATTAATTATTGTACACATGTACCTATAATACGCAAGCTGTTTCTTTTTTATATTTAATCACAGCATTGCTTCAACAAGCATAAAATAACAATGTTAAACTGTGTTGAGTGTTGAATGCCCATAACAGCAAGGGTTAAGTAGGGTACACAGAAAAGTAGGGGATGCATTCATTGGTTTAAATAAAATCTGTGTCTGGCGAGACCAGATAGAAGTTGTAGTTCTTGAGGGAGCCACTCGTTAACTGCCTCTCTCATGATCTCTAATGTTCCCCCTCTCATATTTATCCTCCTCTTGCTGGTGGGATCCCTTCCCATTAGTGCATGGCTTGTGTTTGTGGATTTGAAAACTGTGCTATCAATTGTCTGAAAATTAAATCTTCAAATGATAACCGAACTATACTGTTTACAATATTAAGGTGTTTGTTCTTAGTGTAGTTTTAGTGATTTAGCCTAATAAAAAATGTACAACCCTGTTAGGCCTAAATGTAGACATAGCCTACCTGGATTGTTTCCACACTTTCTATACTTTGTGTTGAAGATTTCTATTTCATTTTAAAAGAAATAATAGAAAGCTTTGGAACGTATGTTATACAGTAGACTCCCTCTTATCCGAACACCTTTTAACCGGACATCGGTTTTACCGGACTACACTCGCCAGAAATTACATCTCTTTAACCAGACAATTTTTATCAGCACATTGGAATAACCGGACTAGATCAGTAGGAAGTGGGTGGTACTGAAACGACTGTTCTCGTGGGAAAGATTTGAAACCAGTGATCACGTGTGTAAATACAATGCTCTCCTAAATTTAAGTCAAATACTTTATACATACAGTATGCATTTAAATGGTCCGTTTTAACGAGTTTTTGGGGACGTCGGTTTAACCGGAAAAACCGTTATCCGGACTGGTAAAACCTCCGGTCTACTGTAGGTTAAATCAATATTATTGACATGAAACTGGTCTTAATACTGTACTTATTTGACAACTTGAGTGTTTCATTCTAATGTTGTTAGGTATACTTGATGATAGAAGCCCTCTCTGATGGGGCGGTAAAGATGGGAGTGCCGCGAGCCCTGGCCACTCAGCTGGCCAGTCAAACACTGCTGGGTGCCGCCAAGATGGTGCAGATGACAGGAAAACATCCTGGACAACTCAAAGACGAGGTTTGCTCTCCAGGTGGCACCACCATCACTGGTATACACGTGTTAGAGAGGTCAGGAGTGAGGTGGGTATTAGCTTTGACTGTTATAGACTGAAGTAGACTAGCTGCTGTAGCCAAGTTTTTATTAAATGGTTTTTTCATTATTTTGTATAAAATAGTATTGGCAAACTATGACACATACTTTCTCACATTAGTCTGACATTGAAATTTAACATTCTGCTACTTTGACAAGCAAAATAATTATCCTGGTTAGGGGGAGGGAGTAACATTGATTGTGTTTAAAGTATACCTTGTTTATTATACTAGTTTAGAACTGTTTTTCAGAGTCAATTATTTATTTATCGGTCACCTTAACGGTGGTTGAAATAAAGGTATACATTTTCAACAGGTTTTTAAACATTACCTGTTTGTTTCCAGGGCTGCTCTCATAGGTGCAGTTGAAGCAGCTACAAATCGCTCTTTTGAGCTAGGAAATAAGTAGGCCTAAATACTCAAATATAAAATGTTCCTTGAGTTATAGTCCACACTGAGGAAACAAGATGTTAGCTTCCATAAAGTAAATCAATAACTTCCAGTGTTCAGCTTCCCTTAGTGGAATGTATTTTTTAATAAAAAAAATTAACATTTCTTATTATTGTTTTCAGTTGAGATTACATAAGTATTGAGCTCAAGCATTTAAGCCTACCTTCATTTCTCAAATTGTATCTTATTTTGTTATATACTTTTTCTGTTGTTTAATTTTTCAATTTTTGTTAAGTGACTGTGTGTTGTTACTTTTTGTTAACAGTGCTTCCATAGTATGTAAGAAAACTTTGTTATGCATTTTTAATTTTTAAGTGTGTAAACACAAGCAATTTTCACAGCAATATTTGTGCATTTTGCAATATTTTGATTATGTGCAATATACCCAGCTAGGATCAAGAAACAGTTTAATTCTCATAGATGGGAAAATAAGCTTGAGGAAAATTAAGCCCATAAATCATATAATGAAATGAAAAAATAATATAAAATAAATACAAACATAAATGTGATTATATACCAGGCTTGAAATAAGCCTAATTTTCCATCACTTTAATCAGTCAAAAGATTAATACTCTTGGTGGGTGACAACTCTGTTGTATTTGAATAGGCAAATGCTAAAGAAGTGTGATTGGAGAGGGCCTTGTAAGCTTTAGTTTATTTCTGACAGATCTAAATTAAAGAATTGTCTGTTTGGGATACTGTCTTAGATTTTGTATTTTTATCGTTCTGCCAAAACTTTTTATTCAGAAACTTCCATATTTGTAGCAATACTGCCATTGATTGATTTTCATTCATAAGATCAGTGTACGTAGAAGACTGCCTTGAAAATTCAATGAGACTCGAGGGCCCTGGTAGTGGAAGTTGGGGGGGGTGAAATTCGAAAAAAGGAAATACAACCGAGGAAGGAGGATCTGTTGAAATTAAGTTCTCAGTAGGATTGGAAAAGGGACCAACCATTTACGGGTGCCAGATTGCTCAAGGTGCACAACGGGTACCACAATCATAACTGATTGTTGGAAACCCTACGAGCATCTGGCAGTGTTACCACTTTAACACTTGTGACTGTAAACAAAAAACGCAAGGATTCCTAACCCGAAATTATTAAAAGAGTTGAAAAATACACAATGAAAAATACATGCAAGCAATATGTGTTTTAAGTACAATAAATTGTTTTTTAATATTGAGGTACGATTTTTTTACTTCACCTTGTTCAAGACCAAGTTAGTTTATGAATTGAAAACAAAGCTAGCCCTCATGAATAAATATACGAGTCTATTGTCCAATTATTGTAATAGTACAGAATCTAAATAAAAGTCAAGTAACCATGATCTAAATTTTATGTTGTTTTAATTTTCTAAGCTTCTGTGTTATTGTATGGTCAATGCAATGGAGGAACTTGTTATGTTGACAGTTTTATCTGAATAATTAAAATATTTTAAAACTACCTTAAATTTCATTGGTATCCTAATTGATACTGCACCAAAAACCTACCTGTTAAATAATATTTTCAATAATATTCATTTGAATAAATATTGGCACAGTCATTTGTTAAGGTGAAAACATATTGATAAAAAGGCATAGTGTAAAATTTGCAGTTTCAATAAAGGTAATTGACATTTTGCCACATTTAAAAAATCATAAACCTTAGTCATAAAATAGAGGTTTGATTAAAAAATATATACTTTGGAGTTGTACTTTTAATCAATTATGTGGAAAACTTTTTACATTAAATATAATGATATAAAAACCACTAAGATTTTTCTGTGACAATATGTTTCTTTCTTTCTGGCACAAAAGGAACTGTTCCAGGCTTGGAATGGGTACGGCGGTTGGCTTCTCTGTAACAGAAAAATAAACGAATTAGCTAATGATAATCACTGCAAAACATTTATTTATAAAAATACAGAGTAGCTATTCTTAGCTTGTTAATCACTATAGCAAATATGTTTCGGTAGACTAACACCCTCTTTTACATTACGTAAATCAACATTCCATCTATATGGACACGCTGTGGGCAATTTCTTTTTACTGAAAAACAACATAGTTGGATGAGCCAATCACAGAGAGTGATACAGCATTAAACCTTAAACCCAAAACAGCAAACCTGCAGACTAAGTGAATTTCCATTTGTCTGATTGGATTTTTATTCAAATATTTCCATAAACATGACAGATTTATTCTCTATGTAAATAGCATTAGGTTGGACAAGTACTTGGATTTGCTGCCACAGGGAAGAAAAAAAGAGTTTTTTTAATCTTTATAGTATAGCATGAAATGAATAAATTTGCCAATTTTGAAAAAAGCTAAGTACAACACTAACAGTTAATTTTCTCCAGAACCTTTAATTTTTCAACCAACGCTTCAATGTGCTTGTTCATAAATTAAGGGTAAAAAAAAAATAATAATAATTTTTGAAAATTTAAACACCCTGATCCCATGACCCAATCTTGCTGGTTCGCAAACTTATTCAAGTTTATTTTGCCCTACCTATTAATGCAAAATTTCTTAAAAATCAAACTAAAATTAGGCCTACTTGAGTTTTTGTGTTCATGGACACATTCATGACAACTTTAATGAATTATGTTTTTGGCCTCTGGAAAAAGTAAATCGGTCTAGGTCTTCCCGCGCCACCACCAACCTACAGTAGGCTACCTTCCATATATAAGCTACTTATCTTACATTAGTGAATAATTTCTAGCTCAATTTTTGATGTGATGTTTGATATGAAAAAAGTGGATGTTGTGTTTTAGTTTAAAATAATAAGATCTTTCGGTTTGGCTTTGTTAAAAAGTTGGCGCATGTGGCAGAAACTAGTAATTTAGATCAGTGTACTATTTGGTGGCTTAAATCAATTGTGCATTTTCATTCCAAAACTGGCGACAACTTAAAACATATCGGACGTCTAGTTCTGCCCACAGTTAACGTCATTATTCATACGGAGATATGCTATGACAACGTACTATAACAGTTTCAGTATACATACTTTCTCTTTGTTTTGTCCCGGATGGTGCGCTGCTCTCTCTGAGCATTGTAGATGTGTTTGGGCACTTGTCTGTGTCGAGCTATCCTCCTAATCTGTGGATGGTTGGCAAACTTCTTCTTCAACGCCTCGTTGTAATTCAGAGCTGCCCTTTCTCTGCCCATCAGCTGAATAAAAACCAAAATTAGGTTGAAACACATATGTAAAAGGTGTAACATAGAGCACAAGGACCTGGGTTTTTACGATATTTTTCTGAGAATAGCAGGCTTACCTGATTGGGAAATAGTCGAAACTAGTACGAGAAACACAAAACGTAAAGCACGGGTCACACTAGGCTGCTCGCCAGCCGCTGGTGATCAGCAGCTGGCACCAGCATCACCGGCTCACCAATCCAGGCTGGGTCAGCTCAGTGTCAGCTGAAAATTTTGTGGTCACATTAAGCTGACAGTAGCGGCTTCTTTCAATTCGCCGCTGTTTCCAGCCTAGTGTGACCTGTGCTTAAGAATATTCACTGTAACTGACACCATTTTCAACTAAGGAATGAATGAGTTGAAAAGGATAATTTAAACATAATAATAATAATAGACAGGAAAAATCTCTTAATTATTCTTCAAACCACATCAAAAGCTTTTTAGTGTTAAACATCAGAAATTTTACCAAGCAATGCTAATAAAAGGTAAAAGTAATGACAATGAGATTGTCATTCTTGGAAATAACATACCACGCCCAACTTTTCCGATGCCCTTGCTTTCCACAGTCGTATGTTCATCTCATCCGAGGAAGTGGCGATGTATTTGTTGTCCATTGTCCAAGCAACACTGGTTAGTCTCTGCATTCGCTTTGTGTGGTAAATGTCTCTTGAATGTCCCTGAAAATATCACAAACACATAGTTAAACTTTTTATTGTAAAAGTAAAACTAAATTTTTAAATGAATTAAATTGATTTGGATCTCATTACTCTTGTTGTTTTGACGGATGTAGCTTTGTAACATGCGCAGAGGAGAAAAGAAGATATATTAAAAATTGCATTTCTCACAACTCTTAAATTAATTTGATACTGATATTGAGTCTTCCCTTGATTGAAAGGTACAAATTGAAAGGTTTGACTTAATTGTATTGGATCGGTTTTCATATATCACCTGCACATCAATATTTTCCCCATACATCTGAATGAAATGGTAAATAAACATACTAAACAAATTGGGTAATAATAAACATAACCAAATATGAGAAAAAGATTTTCATGAATTTTTTTCTATAGAATTTTGACAGCTTTACCTTAGTGACTTCGTAAATGCGTACAGATTTGTCGTAACTGCCGGACACAAACTCTCGGCCAGTAGGAGCGTAGTCAACACAAGTAACAGCTGAGGTATGGTCCTTGTGTACATTCAAGGCCATCTTCAGATTACGACTGTCATATGTGTACAAGCTGAAAATAAACAGTATCAGCAAACTGACACATACTTTCTACCATCAGCCTGATATTAAAATTGAACATCCTACTGTATAAGGGAAAAACAATTAATGGGTAAGTGGCAAATAGCAAGGTAACTTGATGTTTTTTATGGGGAAATATTTTTGTCCAAGGATTAAAGGTCAGTTACAAACAAAATTTTAATAAAAGAATAGCTGTTTTTGTGCAAGTCAAATTTATGTTGTGGTTGTGGTGTTATGGGTTTTATAGGGAAATTACCATTAATAACCAAAATTAAATTAATTAAATTACTGAGGAAATATTGAAACTGTCTAATGCCTACATAGGCCCCACTTTTTGTATTCCTCTATCAAAAACATTTATTTAGCTGTTAACACAATCAGGCAATAGGCCGAGTCAAAGACCTACAAGTTAATGAATTTTTTTTTACAGTGTTATTAAACTTCTTCACAGAATAGCAGGGGTCGTCCAACAAGCAAGACTTGATTCCCTGTTGGAAAGTTTTTTTCTGGTAGCAGTTTCAGGCTAACTAGTAGGCTGAACTGGGTAGCAGTTTGGAGACTCTGCTACACCTAGGGACATCTAGATTTGAACCTTTTTTCGTAACATATTGATTCCTTGAACCTGCAGTTTGGTAGCCTATATTTTCCTATACAAATTTGTAACTGTCAGGATTTTTAATTATTTGAATAAAGTGCTCCAAGGGACCTACGCAAAGCTGCTTGCAGCCCAGAGTACTATTTACTCTAAATATAGGCCAGTGCTTACCATTAAAATCAATTATAAAACAAACTTACTTGTAGTCTTCATTGGCGCAGGTGAATGTAAACGCCTCCATCGGGTTCCATGCAAGCTGATTTGTCCGGAGGGCCATCGTCAGTTTACGTAGCGGTCCTGATTCTCTGGTGTCGTACAGAATTACGCTTCTATCACTGCCACACGCAGCTAGCAACAACAATCAAACCAATACATCAAATATTTGCACTCAACTTCAAATTTTAAAAAAACCTAGAAAAAGATAATTTTAGGTACCTAACTTGCAATGCTTAGAGAGCCCTGTCACTGGTTTTGCCCCATTGTATTCATATCAAATCAAATTATCTTTATTCACTTTACATTCTATATCGCCTACATGAATAGTGACCTCTAAAAAAATGGTTATATAGGCCTACAATTTAATCTAAAAGACTTAACTATACAATTTCACAATTATTTTAGAATGGATACTGTAGTTATTACATTTTTTATTTAGAAACTCGTCCATACTATAGTGAGCCAGATTAATTTAGAATTTCTTCAAAAAATGATTGTATCACGTTACCTAAAAGATAAGTCTCGACAGGATTGAAGGCTAAGTAGTTGAGAGAGTCCACATCCCAAGTGAGTGTTCTGATTGGTTCGCTACGAGACTCTTCCCACAGCTGACAAGTGTCTCCGCAAGTGGCGAACTTGTCTCCGTCCTGACTGAAGCTGATACTCAACAACACGCTCTACAACCAACAATATGGTTTAGCAGTTTACAGTACTTTAATAGATTGATCTAGGTACATTAATTTATACTAGGCATACAGTATGCATCAACGTAGGCACATCTGCCAACAAACTATCTGACTTTTCGATTGAGTTTGTTTTCTGATCAAGTTTCTTAATCAACATTTTAATTGGGTTTGCAAACCAAGGATTTTATAAAAAATACTTTACTTTTTAATATGAATTCTAACATTGGCCTAGGCTAACTTACACACTTTAAGGATATGAAATTCTGTAATAAACCCTTGTACCTATATATTTGTTGGAATATTAACATTAACCTATAACAAACAGATTTAGGTTTAGATTGCCTCGTCAGGCAAACTTTGTTATACAGGTAGCCTATTTTCTTATTTATTCTTTTATACTGTATAAGCTAGTTTAAATACTCTGTGCATGTTAACTTTACATTTGTCTGCATTTGCAAACGTTTGGCATGATTTTCATGATTTGCGTTATAGGCCTATTTTATTGTAAGTTGCATGACAAGATCTACTACACTGAATGTGTTGAAAGATCAATAAAGAATTTGAATCCGAACAAAATATTTTCAATTGAAATCTCCCTCTATATACATACAGGGTGAATTTTAAATGAGTTCCCCCCCTACTTTTTTTCACACTTCTTAAGATATCATCTCCGGACCACATCAGATCATTGTTGAGTAGTAAGTACTTCATTTTGACTGGGTATACATTTTTGGCCACCATCTTGGATCCGCCATATTGGATACAAAGTTTTTTTTTTCAAATGTAAAGGTAGGGTTGTGACCCATCATTTCAAACTATAATTTTATGCTGATTACAATGCCGCAATTAGTTTAAAAAAATCTTGATCCGTTCTAAAGTTATGAGGACTTTTTATAACTTTATTTTTAGCCAATTTTAACATTGTGCATTAAAAAAATAAGACCATAATCTCATAATAGTGCTAGATAAAGATAAGTATACACCACCATTCATTGTTGACATATTTTTACTTGGTTATGACGGAATGAAGTACTTACTACTCAACAATGATCTGACGTGGTCCGGAGATGATATCTTAAGAAGTGTGGAAAAAAGTAGGGGGGGGAACTCATTTAAAATTCACCCTGTATAACCTACCGGTAGGCCTCTATTTTATAGGTACTCGAAATGGTTGAAATGTTTGCATAAACAGAATATTTAGCCCGATATTTGTAGATTATGTAGATATTTAAACTATTACAAAAACTGTGTTGCGTACACAATATAAGTTTGGAAGCTACACAGCTTATGAAACTATTCATTCCGTTAAACAGAGAGTATTTCAACCTATTTGTTTCTCACCTTACTAATTATAGTACTGATATTCTCTTCGTTACTTTCAAAGTCAATATCTGTATTCCATATTTTGATGGTCTTGTCATCTCCGATAGACAGCAAATGAGTACCGTCAGAGTTGAAGGTAAGTCCCCTGACACAACCGTCATGTGCTTGGATAGTGCGAGCACACTGCCTCTGAGATAAGTCCCACAGACGAACCTGACGTGAAAAGATGAATGTTAAGTTGTCTAATGACCAAACTAGATTGTCAAGGTTAAAGACAAATTACCAAGTTAGGTATTTATTAATAATTATGGCCTAAGAATCAAGAAGATTAACTTGATTGCCATTAACTTAAGATTGCCATTAACTTACATAATGTATCGTTAAAATAGGCATTGAGGGGAATGAAACATACATTCCAAATAAGTTGAGCTATCAATACCTGTTAATCCAGCTATGCTTGCTTGAATTCACTTAATTCTATTTTAATGTGGATGTCGGTCACATTTTTAAACAAGGGGGATTTGAAGTGTCACACAAACGTATAACCCATCCCTCTTCATATAAAATAAACAATATAACTTAAGTACTTAATAGGTATCAAAATCTCAATAGGCCTAATTAATTTGGCCATTCAACAAGGCAATAGGCTATCTTATGTCACATTTCCATACAAAATGATCTAACTTACTTTTTTCCACTGAAATGTCTACTCGATAGCAGAGCCACCTTAAAAACAATAACTTAAGTTAGCCCAACTGTATTGATATGATACTGTATATTGATCAGTCTCTCACCTCTCCATTGAAATCTCCACTTGATAACAGAGCTAACTTGTTGGGATGTTTCTTCAAGCAACATATTGCATCTCTATGACCATCCAAATTTCCAATAAACGGTTTGGCAAAAACTCTCTCTAGCTTCACAGCATTCAGGGCTCGAACATACTCTCGTGGCGCCTCAAATGGATGAAGGCTGGGATCATAGTTCCTTGGAGCTTTAAACATAAAATAGGAATGAAATAGGTAGTAGGCCTAGTCCTAGCTTAGACTGAAATCTGTTAGCCTCTAGGGCCTATTTAAGTTTAACAGTAATACCAAAATCCCGGTCTGACAGGCCCTAGGGAATTTTCAAAAACGCATGTTGGCAACACTGTTTACCGTGCTTGGGAGATTCCATTCTCCCAATACCTTCCCCCTTTTCTTCCCCTACCTATTGATATATTGTTTGTTCATTTTGCATGGGTGCCGTGACCTTGACAGGTTGTCTGTTCATAACATGTCATTCTCAGAAGCCCAAAGTTAACTTAGTGTATTTTAAAGCGGGCTCTCACAGGCTGAGGGTTTAGGTTTGTGTGTTTCTAAGCGGGGTCCATTATTTTTCAAATGGAGTCTCATAGCCCCGGGGTTTCAGTATTAGTGTAATTTACAAAGTAGGTTTACCATCTCAATTAATTTAAAAGGGATAATTTATTTATTTATTTTTATTTATTTAAAAAAAGAGGTTGGCGGCCTCTTTTAACCTTGCATTTGCCCGTCCACATAGACTAAGCGCCCGTGCGTGGATCGTTTACAGCAAAGCAAGGAGTGAGCCGTTACAGTACAAAGGTGAACTGTACTGATAAAATGTTATCGGCAGTAACCAGGATCCGAACCCACGACATCGCTGCCTTGGGCCCGAAGTCCGCGACGCTACCGACTGAGCCACCGACTCACTAACATTCATTTCACATGCATTCACAATGGTTTAACTTGCCTAGTTTGGTAACTTGCAATAGGCTAAGTAAGTAACTGATAGGCTACAATAACAATTAAGTGGAGCCTGCACTCACCAATAGCCTATTAGGTAGGCCTACTTAAGTTATTCTCTGGAGATGGTTATAGGCCTATTACATAGCCTATATATTAGTAACTTATCAGGCACAAATAAATCTTATACATAGGCCTACCTTTAAAAATATCTGACTTGGTTTCTCTTAGGTAATGGTCAGGATTTCTAGTCAACACCTTTACTTTCATATTGACATAAAATAAGTTTAATCCTGTGGCACGAAATAAAAATATTAGGCCTAATTAAATATAAATCATGGTAGGGAAAACGATTGGAATCCAGTGATTGGATACCACAACAAATATGTTAAATTGTCAAAATCTTATAGCTACAGCATAGAACAAGGTCGGACTAGGCCTAGATGTGAGGTATTTTTTTATTATTAAATTAACCTAACCTAACAACCTAACAAACATTCACAACACCACAACTAGTCAACCACAGGTTTACAGGTTATGTTCTGTTAAGATGTTCGTTTCGTTTTTTTCATGATGCTTTGCGGTAGGCTTGGTTTTGGACCATGCAGCTGTTTTGCGTAGTTATACCAAATATATTTTTCCTACAGTCACCCGACAAAGTTGGCTTCCTTGTACTGTTGTACTGCTAATTGCTGCATATTTATACTTTGTCGTATGGTTTATACTGGATTCTGGTTCTGGGCCTGTATGCGATTGACCTATAAATTAATGATTCTATCTAACAATAAAAGGAGTACATTAGATAACGAGGCAAGATATTTGGACCAATCCCTTTAAAAATATTGCATTGGATGAGATAAACACAAAACGGGTCTTAAGTTTTAAGACAAAACAATATATGTTTAACTATTTGCACTATGTGCCGAATTTTAGGTACCTGTGGCCCTAGGCCAATTTAACTCAAGCGGCCCCTGCCCTTTAGGTGGGAACTTTTCGCAATGGCCGCTGAATCGTGAATATCACTTCGCTCTCACGGAGAAGTTGTGAACATCACCTGCGATCTCGAGGACATCATGATCGTCACCCACAATAGCAGCAAATTACATTTCCTAGGATCAGGAGGAAATCATCATTTGCAACGACAGATAAATCGAGAACATCTCCTGCAGTTACGGGGACATCAACATTATCACCCTCGTTCTCGGCGGCATCGTTCTTTAAAAATGCTTTGGGTTGCATAATTCTCGTCATCCGCGTTATTTAATACATTACAATTAAATTTTTGTTTAAAAACATTGTATTTGTACAAAACCCTGTGGCCCCTTTTGCTTGCGGCCATGCTGCAGCCTAGTAGTAAATCTGGCACTGCTTGCACTATTCAAAGTCTTTGATTTTATGCACTTGTAGAGTAATAGCAAATAGTGAAGCTATTCATTGATTGTACATGACATAATATTTATCGAAGAAGACATCAAATCCTCAATTAAAATTCTCCCTTCATTACCTTCCTTCTTTATCCAATACAATACAGATACATATGAATACTAATGTCAACAAACATCAGTAGTTACAATTAACATTGCCCTCATCTCAACCCAAAAACCATCAAGTTCAGTAGTATGGACCTACTCAACTTTAACAAATTTCATCACACTACACAGTAAGCAGGTGGTTTCTGCGTTTTTTAAGGGCAGAAAATTATTGTTTAAAAATACCAGTAAAGTAAGGCAGGTAAATTTACCGTTTTATTTTGTGAGGTTTTAAACTAAGCTGCCTCCCCCATGTGTAGAGGCAGCCCACCACAAGAATGCAAATACTGTACTGTGTTTTGTAACTTCTAATAACTTCGATTCACATGCAATTCCTCAAGTGTAATAGGAGGGTCAAATATTGTTAAGAGGAAGTGTTTGGCAATGTTGTGTGAGTAGGCTGGTAGTGTTGTTAAACAATAACTTGTTGTGCTGACTTATAGAAGGCTGTTGCTTTAAGTAGGCCAGTGCACTTGATCAAGGGGTCAGTTTTGGTGGGTAGTGTTTGTGTGGTGCACCAGAGGACGAGGTCCTGCTGGGGGAACTGGAGCCCAAGGCTCTTTGGCCTTGGGTCCAGGTAAGGCAATGTTAAGGGTTTTCCAAATTGGGGTTTAGAGTCTTTTCCAAATTGGGGTTTCAGTTTCTAAGAAATGATTTATACAGTTCCAGTCTACTATACCTTTTTGATTGTTAGTTTATCTTTGTGTTGTTTTAAGTATTAATAAAGTTGGGTTTTGTAAGCGAGTGCTGGGTTTCATTCCTGAGCTACGTTACCCAAAGTAACAGTGGGTGCCTCAAGTAGAGGACCCACCGTTACACAAGCCTCGCATGGAAACTATCCTACTTGTACCGTAAACACATACTTTCCGGCCTTGTAGATTAATATACAAGGATTATCCGTGAAATAAGGTCTCCACTAAGCTCACGACCAAGCTAATTCAAATATCAGACCTGCACTTTACATCGTGATCCCAAGTAACTGGTAGTATTAGGTAAGAGTATTAAAAAATTGTTGTAATACTATTATAATACAACAAAAATGTATGAATAATTGGACTTATTCAATATCCAATAAATTTATTAACATCAACATAATTCACAAATGTACAATTCTTATCTTAAAAGAGTCATTCATACAGGGATCCAATTACATTATATTCAAAATTCATAAGCATAGTGCAGAAACTTGAGAGAAATTTGAGCAGAAATTTGAGCATGCGTCGTCTGCTATGGTTGTATGCCTATAGTTTAATGTTAAAATTGGACAGTTTTAATTTTGTAATTTAAGTGGTTTTTCAAGTTTTTAAAGTGAAAGTTGCACGTCAAACTCCACTGGAAACATGAGTAAATATTAATAATAAATAAACTTTAAAATATCTCAATCAGTTAACTTGTCATTAGTAAAATAAAAAACTTACGTTTATCTTGCTGAAAGTCACATGTTTTTCAAGCATTCAAAATAACCTCTCCAGTAAATCACTACTTTTTAATATCATTCTTCTCTGGTTGGATATTTCAAATTGAACACCACAGTATGTGATTTCACTGTTCTGACAGTTTGATTTTTGAACATTCGAAAGTGGATTAATAATTAAAACAGGAAGAAAGGTTGTGCACTTGATCAGAACAAGACCATTTCCTGTTTGGAAACAGGAATCAGGCTACCTCTCCACCTGTTGCTAGCCAACTTGGACCCTGAGCTCTTATCAGTGACCTGTCAACCATCTCTCTCTGTCCTGCCTTCCACCACAACAATGGTTTGTTTACATGACTTATCTGTCTGACTTATTTGTTGAGAACTGTGATAGTGAATGCATGAACTTATTTATGAAATATTTATTCTATTCAATATTTTAATTTTTAATTGAACTGTATTTGAACTGTATTTCAACTGTAGTTTGAACTGTAGTTTGAACTTATTTTATTTTATAATGAGTAAATGTACTCTAAAGACTTTTAAATATCCATGTGGAGTGTGTGGAAAAAATGCTAATTTTGGGGCAATTTTATGTAATGGTCAATGTGGGAAATGGCATCATTTCAGATGTGTAAACATGTCTTATAATAAAGTAAAAAATATACCATTAGCTGAAAAAAAATTATGGAAATGCCCAATCTGTTCCAATGAAACTACACAAGGAAACACAGCAAACGTTGATCTTAGTCCCACTGCAATAATGGAAGAATCTCCTGATCAATTAGACTGTTCATCTCTGGCTGAAGAAATTAATAAATCAATAATAAATGAAAATGATGAATTGCGTGAAGAGCTTTTTAAGGCCAAAAATGAAAACTCTCTATATGTTTTAGAACTTGAAGACAAAATAAAAGAAATGGAGGAGAATCTTGAGTTGCAAAAGAAGCTGCTTAGTGATGCAGAGGATAATTTTACTCAGCAATTAAAATTTTTAGATAGTAAATTGGAGAAAGAAAAGTTAGCTAACATGAATCTTTTGTCACAGATGGAAGAAGATATCAAAGCTAAAACTATAGTAAATCACATGCAACCAAAACCATGCAAAGCATGCACTATATATAAAGAAGAGACTAAAAAAATGCTGGAATCCATGAGGACATTAGAAACTATAATTAAATGTCTTGAAAAAGAAAATAAAGCTAAAACTGATAAGTTAAGTAAAATAAAATCACAAAAATCTCCATGTTTACGTTGTTTTCCACCTCTTGGCACTCCTACGTTCCTACAAACATCACCTTCTGCTAAAACACGACAGCGAGTAACTCCAACTAGATCAACAAAAAACTTACTAACCAACAATCCGTCTGAGCCTCAAGAGAGTATTTTTGTCAACGGTAATAACTTAATATCATCTTCACCAGCTCACAATTTTATTATACCTTGTGAAAATTCTTTTGAAATTTTATCTTCTGACATTTTCAATGATGAACAATCCAATGGGGATCTTCTACCTAGTAAGAAAAAAAATTACACAAGTAACATCACCAATAAGAAACAGAAGCCTAGGCCTAGTTCAAATAGACACACCTCAGTAAAATTACCGTCTGGTGTAATTCATCCATTAAAACTTGTCATACTTGCTGACAGTCATGGAAAGAATTTAAGTAATTTAGTACACCAACGGACAACTGCTAATGTTTGTTCATATGTCAGATCTGGGGCAAAGTTTGACAGAGTTACTGGAGAGGTCAAACAACTTTCTGGAGACTTGTCTAAAGATGACTATCTACTGGTAATAGCTGGTACAAATAATGTTGACAGTGCTGGAGAAATGCAACTTATGGAGGATGTAAATAGATTAATCCACAACTCTACCCACACCAATTTGATTCTTGCAACACTGCCTATGAGACATGACCAGCCGCAGTTGGACTTGAAAATTTCACATTTTAACTCTGAAATAGAAAACACAGCCAATGAAAACCAAATACAAATTCTTCCCCTCCACTTACTTCCCCGACATTTATACACCACTCATGGGATGCACTTCAATAGGAAAGGTAAAGCTAAAGTTGCAGAAATGGTTGCAAAACTGCTAATTAGGAAGAAGCAAAATGAACCCTCAAAGCACTCTTTTAACTCTAAATCAGTGGTTGTAGATCAAGGTATCGAGTTAGTTGAAGAACACATGAGCCAAGTTATAGACCGCTACAAACAGGACTCTTCTGTAGGTTTTGCTCACACTATATCGAGCGACCTTGACCATGCCAGAAATATGTCAGCTGGTGTTGCTGTTGTCTTCAAAAACAAGTTTGGTAGACCACGTCCCTGCGATTTTATTGCAGACAAACTCACCTGTCAGAATGTAAATCAATGCGCTTTTGTTTACAGCCTGGTTACCAAACCAATGTATAGTGGGAAACCAAAAAAAGACGACTACAATGAAGCCTTTTCTCAACTCACACGGGATTTTAAAGCAAAAGGACTAAAAACATTAATCTGCTCCCCCATGGGTTGTGTGAGGGATCTTATTGCACCCACTTTATCAAACACT